GGGTAAAAAAAATTACAAGTCTATATTGATAGGTGTTAATTGTCGGTATAGATCAAAAAAATTAAAACGTATAAGTTTATACTGATGGGTGCTAGCCGTCGGTATAAGTGAGAAAATTAAAAACTACAAATCTATACTGATAGGCTTTAAGCATCAGTATAGGTATAAAAAATACAAGTCTATATTGACGACCATTAACCATCAATATAGGCAAGAAAAATTAAAACATATAAGTCTATACTGATAGGTGTTACTCATTGGTAAAAAGTATAATGGTGAAACATACAACATATGATATACTAATAGATACACATTTATTAACGATCTTGAATTGTAGGTATATATCTAGAAGCTATTTTGACACCTTAAAAACCATCAGTAACACCTTAAAAACCATCAGTATAAGTCTATACCAACAAATGATATATTGACGGTTAAAAATTTATCGGAATACACATTTTGACCGTTAATATATGGTTTATGGTACTATATTGACTGATTTTGCGGTTTCACTAATGCTTTTTTTTAGCATCACTATATGTCAGATTTCTTGTAATGAGTCTAATTTTACAAATATGTTGAACTTGTAAAATCCTGATGTAGCCAATGGAAATAATTGAATTGATAAAAATTGAATACTTCAATTATAAAGCTTAGGTTTGATTTTTACTGTCAGCAATTCCCTTCCTTGAACGATTTGTAGATTGTAAGTTTTCCATAAAACTTACGGTCTGTCCTGAATCTAGAACGAAGATGATTCCCTCACCCTAAACTTTCTATTAAAAAAATACCCTGATGGCCTGACCTAAACACAAGTTTAAGGCAGAGATCTTAGCTTCATGCCATATTTTTTATTTCCTCTTATCAGAACTAATTAATTAGGTTGTCGGGGTCAAAACTGAAGTAGTTGAAATTGTAATAGTTGTTAGTGAAACGATTACTAGGTGTAAATCAAAGAAAAAAAAATTTCATATTGGAAGCTCTGTCATAATGTTGCAGGTATGGTTAAATGGTGGATTGTCTTCTCCATGTCATCGCGTCATTATGACGGGAACAAGACAAGGTACTATGCCAACCGGGTTGTTTGCAACCCCGAGAGGAGGCTACCAAGTAAAGGTTCCAAAAGAGCTTGTGGATGAAGAAAATCCCTTGCTCTTCAATCCTTTCGACCACGAGGAATTCTTGGGATTCTACGACGTTACTCGACGAGCTGTTGGATCCAGTCTAAAGGCTTACTGCAGTGCGTAAGATTTGGCTATAAATAATTTGTAACGAATTGTGTGATGAAACTCTGCGTAATATATATATATATATATAGGTAAAAATAATTATCGCTTTGCAGTTTCTGCTCTGTAGGCTGCAAATGAATGCTCAAGTGGCTACACACACTTGGTCTTCAAATTACTGTTGGAAATGCTGAAAGTGGAAGAAAAGAGAACAAAAAAGGGTTAAGTAGTCGCAATTGCCGGGGGTTAAACCTGGGTCACCCGTGTGACAGGCAAGCATGCTTACCTTCATACTACTTCGTTGCTAATAATTGTTATTTATATTACAAATCTATAAAAAAAAGCACTGGGGGTATTTCATTTCCCTCTTTCTAGGTGTATCCGCGGCGGTCAAATTTGCAGACGGGAGATTCAAAAGGAAATCTTGCATTAGGCAGAGCTATAATTGGCTGCTTGGCTATTTGTGTTGGTTACAATACGGAGATGTGAAACGAACCGCGGACACCAATCCTTTTCAAATTTTCCTTAATTTTGTTTAATTTTGTTCATACAACAAGTGAGAATTTGGTCTCTCCTTAATACTCTCTACTCTCTAGTTTAATGTAAGAAATCAGAATAAAGTTTGAGTTTATTAGTTATTTTCATGCCTCTTGAAAATCAATAGTAATATTTTATGTGGCATGTGCGGAGGAAATGATTTTCTCGAGGATATTTCCTCAAATTATGTGGCAGATGCTTATTCCCAATCCTCAAGTCTTCCCTGAAAGTCTAATGCAGGAACATATGTAATGAGTTAACATCGATCCTGTGGAACATGCACAGCGGCGGAGGCCACAAAATCATCCATGTCCCATGATAACAATGTTGTAAGAAGAATATGTGTTGAATTGGTAGGTAAGGAATATCTTCAAACTTAGCACCATTTAAGGTCATTCAGTGGTTGTTGATCTTGCCTCCCAGTTGGGCTATCATATCCATTTGTAGACACATTTCTCTTCAATCTTGTTTACAGTGATGTTTTGACTTTTGTGCAATTCATATCAGCAAAATCTTATTTCCACCTTCTGCCGTACCTGGGACCTGCCCTTGTTGTTAATATCAAAAGTCGTCAACCTACTCCAGCCTTGTCTGTCTTATTACATCTTTTTATGTAGTTTCTATCAAAATAATTCATTCCCTTGATTATTGCAGTGATATTTGCTTCTCTTGCCTGCAATGGTACAAGCATCACAAATTTCTATGAATATTCTTGCAACTGTCTGAAGATTCATTGCAAATTTCCATAGATTTTTGTTTGATATGTTTATGTTTTTCACTCTTGGTTCTTTTTGTTGCAGAATCCTGCTTTTAATCTAAAATGATGATGTTTTGCAAATTAACTGTTCAGCATTCAAACCAATATGAATTTCTAGTCCTAAAACAATTTGAGAAATTCGGATAGAATGATGTCCTATCTCTAGTACCTACATATCAATTAGATGAATACATGACAGCTGGAATGATTGCAGGTATTAAGAACAGGACTACCAGTGGGTTGTTTACCACGAATATATTCCTTGTCCTTTGTCTTGTAATTGAGAATTTTAACCAAAAGTAATGCTCATGAAGAACGACTAGAAATGTCAAAGAGAATACTCCTCTTACTATAGGATACACCAGATGATGAGTCAAAATTCAAGAATTTTGATTCGAAGTTACGCTTGTAGATAAAGGTACAATAATGGAGCTACTCCCCAAAAGACAAGAACTCATTTATTTCTTCTCTCATGATGTAGTCATGGATAAATCTTTCAAACTGCTACAGGGGCCTGTTGTTTATTCAATGAGCAGAGGCCCATGGTACTTTTGGAAGTTCAAGCTCTTGCTTGTAAAAATAACCATAGAATAGATGACGCTTAAGTCTTAAACAGAGAAAAACTGGGAGATTCTAGCATAAGATGGTGATTGATGATTGATCCAATGCATTCTTTCAGGGGCCAATACCATTGAAACCGGATTTTGTTCATTTTACTATAGCAGATGCTCTTGGGTTGAATGAGTCCTCAATGGAAAACAGACACTTGTTTTGTGATGAATTGTTGCTCCTTCTGTATTACAATGAATTTCGGTGGTTAAGTGATGGTTAGTCAAACTCGGGCGTAGAGATTTCAGTCCTTGAAAAGACTTTGGCCTCGAGGGAGAATCCATTATAAGGCTATTTTTAAGCATGAATGTTTGCCACCGCCAGAAGCTGTATACTCTTGCTGTGAAAATGAAATCGACAGATTGCTTTTCGAAGAAAACGAATATGAATAGAAAAATCACATGATTAGCTGATGAATACACATCGCTAAAAGTAGGATCCGATCCCGCAAAATATGCCCATTCTGAATAAAATGGTTCGATCAGTTTTAATCCAATTTGGATTGTGTGGTGAAGTGATTTATGGAATTTGAAAGTTGAATCAGAATTGAAAATCACAATATGTTTGATGAAATGGGATCTAGATTTTACACCTAAAAGAACGTCATATCTATTAAATCACGGGACCTGGCTTCCAATTGATGTGACATGGATTGATTCTGATATCACCTGCAACTTAAGAAGTTGGATTCTGATTTGATAAAATCACCTGTTTTTGTAAGTTGCTGCTAGATTGTGGAGGCAGTGGACGATCAAGTGCACATTCATAGCATGAAGAAGAATCACAAACTTTGGCTACAATTGGAAGTTGGCTCTTGTCTCTAAACATCATTGCAAATCACATAATTCAGCTAGATTTAGCTGAAAACTTGGAGTTTAGCTGTTTTTTCTTTTTTCTTTTTTTTTTTTTTCTAATTATAGCTGTCAATAAATTGCTTTTAATGATACTCGAAGAGAAACATACAAAGAAATGTGCTCTCTGAAGCAATATTTTTAATGTTATTGGAGGTTACTTCAATCATGTTTCTGATGAGACCACTCAACCATATACTTTCTTCAATTATGTACTGAGCAATGTTATGGAAATTATCTGAAATTTGAATCTAAAACATAGCTTAGTGGGTTGGTGCAACCATGAAGTTGCATTTAATAGATATGAGATTCGAATCTCAATATCCGCAAGCCACAATTATTTTCCTTATTTTCATACTGCAGCCTCTTTTGTAGCAATCAATTATATGAGATTTAGAATGAAGCAGACTCATGTTTGGGAACTTGGAAATTCTCTCTCCATTTTTCCTCCCTTTGCTGATGTCCTATAATCTATTGTAAGAAAGTTCAGTGAAGATCAGAGACAGGAAAAAGGGATGTGTTTCTTTGGTTTCCTTTCGGATGCCGCTTCACTTAATCGGTTAACCTTCCAAAGAAGCAAATGAAGAAGCAAACAAATCGAAATGGTAAAAACGCCACATTCCCCCAAGATAAGGTAGGGTTCTCAATCTGACTAGCCAATGTGGAATTTCACGTAGTTGCAGAGGCAATATCATCTTCGGTTTGCAGAACATTTTCGTGAACCGAAATGACTGACACCTCTGGCTCTGCAATAATGCTAAAAAATCCAAGAAAAAGAATCTTTAAAAAGATTGATTATTCATGTAACAATATTTGCCGTATTTTCTTGTTTTATTATATACATATATATATAGTAGTATATACGTTCACAGGAAAAATTGTCCTGGTTCAGAATATAATAGTTTTGCATCATTTTCTATGTTTCACCCAATGATTTAACTCTTTTTTATCTTATTGTTTGGATGGGGATCTTCCCCCATATCCGGGGCTAGAAGATGTCGGTACTGATGTCTTTTTACATGAATATTCAAATAAGAATTTTCCCCTCTATCTCTTTCGGCATAAGGACAAAAGACAGAATAGAGACCCTTTGTCTGAATCCCTATATGTGATTTGATATAAGTTATCCACTTGGGCCTTTTCATGGGAGCTAACCTCAATGTTCTTCCCTTTAGTTTAACCCTACCAACACTATCCTCCAAAATGTTTGGGTCCCGATGAAATATTCAAACCAATCAAGATATGGGAAGGAATAATATAAGAGAAAGAAAACAAAAAGGAGATTAACAACAAAAATGACTGTCTTTTAGCCAACTGTTACGCTATTATTGTGTTCGTTTACATCAACCAATCCATTTAGAGGAACACAAACTCGAACTGATGAGAGTGCCTTGTTGAAATGCTTTGCTTTGGTGTCAAGGTATTCATTCCAAGTAACTGGTCGGTAGAGGGGTGGGTTAGTTGGGCCTACTAGTTTCGGATGGGGTGAGATTTTGACACTAGTTGGTGGACCATATAAATAGGCTATCGATAGCCGGTGATGGGTGCGGTTCACTATGGCCCTGTGAAGAACACTCGGGTATGACCCGTTGGATAGGATATGCATAAGATCCCCTACGTTGATGACAAGCCCGCCCGGTACTGGAGGAACTGTGACCCACCCAACTCCCTCTTTTAGGACCTGCAACCCACTGGTGCTGCTTTGGTAGAGGATGGTGAGGAGGGTCGAGTCCGTGTGAGCGGCTAGACCCATGGCCCTGTCTGGGTCCGGACAAGCCGGGTAGTAATTCAACTGTAATGCTGCTGAAGACTCTTTGAATTCACCTTTTGTGCCAGCCCATTTGATATCTTGCTTGGCTACTATGCCTAGGGAACCCAGCATCAACCACATCAATCTCCCTGCTAGCTTTTTCATTTCTTTCTTGTATTCTTTAATCACATCACTGAGGAAGAAACAAATACACGAATCAAATAAAATTTCAGTACAACAAAAATAAAAAAAAATCAAAACACTGTATGGAACAGTGAAGCTGCTATTATTCTGGGTATAAAACAAAACAAACAGTTCACAAGTGGGTTTTTTTTTTTTTTTTTGTTTATTGGTTCCTTTACTCCAAATCTACTTCGTGGGTCCATAGCTTTCATTGGCATCTTTGCTAATTGCATTAACTATAGCAAATGGGTTTTGTGTTTTGCCAGAAAAGAAAAGATCAAAACAAAGATAATCAATCATAATACTAATAAAAAACGGTGAATTATAACAATCTGATTTTACACGTGCATGAGCACGTGTACAATTTTTTTTTTTTGAAGTTATTGATTGCTAAATTAAGAATTTAATATTATACCATCGACTGTTGGCGCATTCTTACAATTAGTGCTCACCAGTGCTTGCTGTAATTTTGGGGCCAAAGTTGGCGAAAATGCTCATCGGGTGACCCAACAATAGTGAAGCCCTCAGACCACATACGCTTAGAAAAGAAGGAGGAAATCCTTGCAAAGCCAAAGCCGGAGACACCATCATGTGATCTAGCAGCTTTGAGTTTTTGGTGGACAGGTAAAGAGAAAAGGTTTCGGCTAGTGAACTCCACCATATCAAGGAGGCTAGCAGGGATACCATGGTTGGTGACTTGGAAAACGCCCCAAGTTTTGCATGCATGGCCAATACCTTGAAGAGCATTAGGGTCATTAAGATCGATACTTGGCACAGATTCAGTGGTGAAGGAGTCACCGGAAGGGTAGTCGTCATCGCGTTGATTCCATGCGTACGACTCTGGTAGTTCTTGGAGTGAGGTAAAGTCAGGGTGTTTGAGTTGTTGTGGGTGCACAGGGTGGGCTCTATAGTCGTCCGAGAGCCTCGAAGGCATAGCTTCAAGTTCAATTTGTGCCTGAAAAGAAGAGAGAAAATTGAGAGTTTAGAGGAAAAATTAAAAAGATGTGTTGGGTTTCTATGGGTTGAAAGAGTTAGAAACAAGCTTAGTGGGAGCAGTGGGAGCAGTGGGAGAGGTGTACTTTGCTGTGAAGAAAACAGAGAAAATGAGCGAAGAGATATGATGGCTTCTAGTGAGTATATATAGAGAGGGGGGCAAAGGAGTGGGAAAGAGAGAGAATTTTTGTAAGTTTTTTTAAAGAAAAAAGATTGATGGGAGAGAATTTGATTTTATAGGTTAAAAGGTTGTGAATTGTGATATTTATGGAATGATGGAGTTAAAAGAGAGATTCATTATTAAGTTTTAAATTTTAAATAAAATTAAAAATAGTAATTTTCATCTCCCATATATAGTTATCATATCAATTAAATCTATAATTATATAGACAAAAAATCTTAATTATTAAGAGAAACAATTGCAGAAAGAGAGAACATCAAAATAGAAGTCGAGTGACATCAATAAAATCATTTTTTGGTCTTTACGAGTTATAATTATTTTTTACAATAATTTTCATCTGAAAAAGTATTTTGAAAATAAAATTTTGAACGTATCATATTTATAAAAAATATATATTTTAAAAATCCTTTAAAAAAATTTAAATCCAAACATAATCTAAAAATATTCTAAGTCGTATTTTTCAAAAGAATCTTCATTGTCTGTTTACTTATTTTATCTCAATCATCAGAATTTTAAATTGAGAATATTAGGTCTTGAGAAATATAACTCAACGGTTATAATTTGAAGCCTTAATTAACTTAAATTACTTAAATTCGAGTTTGGGATTGAATCTCAAAATTAAAAAAAAATAAATAAAATTAAAGATCATGTGATTATTTATGACAGGAAATTTTTAAAGATATCATCCAAGATTATACTTGATTATTTTGATATGAAATCAACTCTTAATAACTAAATAAGGTATCCATATATATATATATATATATATGCAACAAAATTTTCTATAAAGAATTAGAAGTGCTGACCCCATGTTACTTTTTAAATGAGCAAAAACCTTCTGATATTATACATCGATGTTAGCTAAATTTAGTCAGTAGGGTCAATCTAGGAGAAAAAAACACAAATATAGTAGCTTTTTCCAATACAGTCAAGTGGTGGCTGTTTTCTTCAATATACATGCGGTGGCTCAGTGTGGAGGACAACTCAAGTGATAACAGTTGTGGCTGTACTGGTGTTTAGAAAATTTACAAAAGTGAGAAGACGATAATATATAAGAAGATATTTAAAAAAAAAATCCATCTTATACGACATCGTAGATTTTATCAGTAAAATTAAAAGAATAATATGTTCATTATTAATTTTTATAATCGCATTTTCTCTTCATGAAAATAAGTATTAAAAAATCAATAATATGTTTGTTTAATAAAATTAAAATCAGTTTGAGAAAGATGATATTTAGTAAGTTTAAAATTTAAATACCAATAGTTATAGTTTTTTTTTTTATCTTTAGATTATAACTTTAAAAAAAAAAGTTAATTCCAAAACTGAGTGTCTCATGTTGTAATCTCGATTTTAACACCAAAAAAAAAAAAAAAAAGAAGAAGAAAATAGTTATAAAAAATAAAAAGAGGAGGAAGAAAATGATGACATAGTGAATGAGATTAGAATGAATGAGTGTTGAGGGAGTAATGGTCAAGATTTTTTTTTCTTTTTTTTGGTTGCCATTTTGGAGTATGTTGAGTGGTGTTGGAGGAGGCGTAGATAGAAGGGGACAGGAACTGATAGAAGAGTGAGTGTTCTGTATTGGACAAGAGAAAGAACAAAAACAGAAAGGACCATCTTGTCCTCTACAAAAACCCAATCTAAACTGAAAGAAAGGAAAAGCATCTCAGCCTCTGAAAAACCAAAGAGTGTTCCATGTAGGAATAGGGAAGGGGCCTCTCTCTCCATGTGCATGTGTCTTGTCCTCGAGTAGAAAAACATCCATCTCGACAATTCCACCCCCCCCCCCCAAATCTCTTTCCACTACTTGACAGTACTACCCACCTTCACTTGCCCATTGTGACCCAATCCCCCTCCCACTTGGATGGACTTCTCTCAATATTCATGGTGGGCTAGGGAAGGAACAAGACAACTTCTTTTGGGAACATATGCAAGGGCATTTCTGTCCAAATATTTTTAAAAAATGTGGGATGAGTGCTCCTATGCTTTTCACTTGAATATATATTCTCATTATGTTTGTTTTTATTAATCTTTTCAATTAAATGAATTTAATTTTGATTATTATTTTAATATAATTATAAATTTTAAACAATTTAAAACAATATTTTTAAATTTTAAAGATTTCAAAATATGTTTTTTAAAATTTTAATTTAATATAAATTTTAAAAAATAATAATCAAAATTAAATTTATTTGAGAAAAAATCAAATATAAACATACAAAATGAGATAGAGACTATATATTTGGTCATATCCTTTAAAAGTTATAAACTTCCTTTTGGTAGTAGCGGTTAGATTTGTGTTCATTTGTCCTACATGACACAAGTGGGGCGCCTAAAAAAACATCACTCTTTAAAACACTACAACATTATGGGGATGTCCCAAAGCATCATCTAATTGATTTTTGTTTGTTCTTCGACTCATATGGACCTCTCTCTTTCTCCTTGGACAAAGAGTTTCGAATGCTCTATTTTTCCTTTTGCTTTGGTCTCATTTTGCTTTTTTCTTGTGCTTGCCATGGGCACATACAACATAATAGCAACAATATTGTGATGTCATCGTGGGATGGGATTGCCCATATACCATGAACATGAAGTGACCATCATATATATATATATATATATATATATATATATTATTGTTATTATTATTAGACATAACATTGTGAGCTCCAAAGCGCGCGCACATACGTTTGCCCAATAGTCATTCCACGTACACATGTAGTTCACGTGACACAAACGTGATGAGGTCCGGTCGTTACACAAAATCCAAGATAATGATTTATGATAAAAAGTAGGTTTGCTCTAAGTTTATAATTTACCATAGATGTTACCTTTAGTCATAAAATATAAATTAATATAAATTTTTTAAACTTTCACAATTTCTTTCAACAAAATCTAATAAGATAAGTCCATACCATATGATTTGTATTCAAATAACTATTTAAATTGATAAGGAAAAGTATCATGTGTATCACATGATCATAACAACCGTTAGGCACATGATCTCGTAGACTAATGTCATTAATTTGCCATGAGTGTGTTGGACATGATGAGCATACTGGTTATTAAATTCACGTGTGTCATATACCATTAACATAAGAGTTTTATATGGGTAAAAATTATAAAATCAGAGTTAAATTTTTTATTTAAAACTGTTAGAATTGGTTGTTAATTATTAAAATTAAAAATTTAGTATTTTATTAACAGATTATGTGATTGTTGACAAAAAAAGTTAATTTGGATATAATAAATTTTTAACGTAATTAAGAACAAAAGGCTATACTTAATCACTTGGCTTAATTTGCGGGCATGTAGAAACAAAACCCATGCTTAGTGCACCAAAAAAGTACTCAATGGACCATCTGACCATCGGATCATCTATAATATTGGCCAAAAGGCTTATGAAATAGATAATATACACAAATCAAATAATCAAATAGAGTCCACGGCTCACAACTTAATGTTAGCCTTAATGTTAATTTGTTAAGTACTTAATTTTAACACCAATAATTCAGCATTGAAAAATAGTTGAAAAATGCTTTTGAAATTACTACAACAAACTTATATATTACACGATAAAATTTTTAAATTTCATATGAAAATTTATATATTTATTATATATTTATTTAATTGGAACTTTAAAAAATAATATAATTATTAAATAAATATTTACCAAATTATGTGAATGCATTATGTAAGTCTATTAATGAAGTTAAATTCAAATTTTAATTCAATTAATTCATATAATTATATTTAAGATTTGTAATTCCTTTTTATCCGAAAGCTGCAATCTCCATCATATATATAAAAAAAAATTATTTTTGAAGTTCATTAAAAACTCCCTCATCTAATATATTTTATGATGATAATAGATATATACATATATGCAATTTTTTTATCACTAATGTGGTACATGATAACGACGCATTTATCGAAAAAATGACACATATTACATATATGATTAAGGAACAAACAAGTACCGGCTTTCGGACAAATTGATCAAGTCAATTTATACTCGGTTTGAGCAACATCTTCATTCATTCATAACGTTGTGGACTAAACTCAGTCTCACACACTATTTGGTCCAAAATGATTTCTATTTCTGGTAAACCAGTACGTGACACCCTCCCTTAAGGAATTTCTCATCACCACAGCACGTCTCCAATATTCAATGCTATTGGCTTTCCCAAATTTGTACAACCTAATAATTATTTTTTTTTACTTTAGTGAGTGCCCATATACTTTGATTAATTATATTTAACTCATGATAGGAGTTTATAGTCTGTTCGGGTAGGTAATGAGATAAATTTTTATTTAGATTAAAAATAATGATAAATGTGGAATTAATTATTATACTAATAAATTATAATTAATAATAAAATATGTTTTTGAATGTAAAAATAATGGTGGTGGTGTGATGAGAATCTAAATGATCATTAAGGACTTTATTCTTAAAATTTATTGATAATTTATTTTTATTATATTTTAATGTTATTTATAGCATTTTAAACCTTAAAATTTTATTTTCAATTAAAAAATCAATACATATTATTTATTAATTTATTATATAATAATAAATTTTGTCTATTTATTTATTATTTAATAATAAATTTTATTTATTATATTAAATCACCAAAGTTATTTCAATGTTTTTAAATTAAAAAATAAAAATGAAAGACAAAATCATGGATATTTTTATCCGATAGCTATAATTATAAAGGCAAAAGTGGAAAAAAAAAAAAAAAAAAACGCTGGATAAAATTGACAAATAGAGTTGACATTGGTGCAATTATTCTCACCGGACCTAAAAGGTTTGGTGCAAAACTGAAGGCAAACGTGCCTCAGCTGTGACTTCCAAATACCAAAATGGTGAGATTGAACCAAAAAAGAGTTCCAATCGCAATTAATCGGTATGCCAGTGGTATTTAAATCAAGGTTGTTAAAATCGTACCAAAAAATATTTAAATTTTTTTTTAAAATATGATAAATATTGGTATCAGTTGTTTTGATATATTATTTCAGATTTTTTT